TGCTTTGTTCGAGGGGGCGGTGCTTTTTCGGTTTGGACAGGGTTCACCGTTTCCAGTGGGTTAATGGTTGGAGAAGAGCATTCTGGAAAGCTTCTGTAAGCTACACGTTTCCGTCATTTTCATGGGGATAAGCAAGAGATTGGAAAACACCAACTTCTCGAATTTGGCGCTTCGTAATCAAATTGTCAAATTGAGGCCTTTGCCACAATTCCAGCCGTACTGCCCCTTTCCAGGTCAAGCAAACACGAGAGAGTGCCAGTGGTCTCAAAATTAGGGGATCGTACTTGAGGGAGACAACAATCCAAACTTGCCCAAAGGTTCCCCGTCGCAAATTGACACACCCGTTTCCGGCTGGCTCATCTGAGTGGGAAGCGCCGCGCACTCAACATCAAACAAAGGCGAAACCCACTCGGCAGCTAGCTGATCTTGTGGCTGTCCTAACCATCGGCCAATCCACTTTTGAGCACAACACATGCAGGCGCCTTGAAACCAAACGCTTTTGGCCGGCCAACATTTCGAGAAAGCATCAAATGCGTGCGCTCAGGGACGTCATTCGCAGTCATTCGCGTGTCTTTCCATCTGCAGGCGCTCCTTGGAAGACGATGGCTGCGCAATGAGGTTGCCCGTCTCATCCCGCAGGTTGCCGATTCGCAGGACACATCCACCTGGCCAAAATGGCTTGGGGGCCGCTCTAACCGCTTGTTACCGCACGACCAAGGGCTTCTGTACTGGATTGAATAGGTGGACCGTTGGCATCCCCCATCCTCTGCATCTACCATTCTAGGTCCCCAAAACGTCGGACAGCGCTTGGGTGGGTCCATTTTTTGTGGGGGGCCATCCCCTTTTTTGGCTGGATTCACTGGAACGGGACCCGTGGGGACACCAGATCCATTTTGGGGCCGTCCCCGGGTTTTTTCGTTCGCCTGGGCCCAGTGTGGCGTGCTGGCGCCCGTAGGGCGCCGGCCCCAAGGGCCCGAAGCGCGCGGAGAGCTCCGCGAAGGCGCTGGGGGAGAGGTCGAGGTTCCGGATCACCAGCCTCCAAACATCCGGTTGGTTGGTATGGGCCGCTCGGGTCCTTTTCGCATGGGGGCAGGGGGGGAGAGAGGGAGGGAGGGGAGGGGAGGGGAGGGGAGGGGAGCCCAAATAAGCCGTATAGATAAGGTGCGCCCCATGACTTTCAATGAAGCTAAAGGGAATGTAGCCACACAAATGGCGGTTTCCGAAGGTTGACACATACCCAAATGCTTGTTGAGATCAAGGTCGGTTTCCGGGCCCCAAAGCGGTTTTTGGACAGGTCGCTTGGACACTCGCCGTTTGGAGGTTTCATTTTAGAGGTTCAGCCTTCAATTGGATGGCCTCCCCTTGTCCCCAATGCTTTTCCCTGCTTGTAGATCGGCACTAGTGGTCCTCAGCGCCTGCTCATCTGTAGTCATGGTAGTTGGGTCCCCGCACACGCAAACAAGTCGCTGGGTGTGATTTCCACTTGGGACAAACAAAAAACTTCGTGATGGACGGCTTTGTCGTGCATGCTGCACTTTCTCTCAATCAACCAGGCGACTGGAACTTGGCTACTCAAGGTAAGGGGCACTTCCCAAAGTCCTGTTGAGAAACCTCCAAATGGCTCCTTTCATGGACCCCTTCTGGTAGCTTTGAAAACTAACTTATGCGGAAGGTGAGGAGCCGAAATCGGGTGAATCAACAAAGCGACCGCTTCCATTTCACAACCTTCCCTCCCGCCTGTCTGCCCAGGGTTCTGCGCATGTGTCCCCCGCTAAAGCAAAGGAATCTCAAAATTTGACCCAAAGGTCATGCTCTCACCCCCCCCCCCCCGGCCCCCGCCCGCAAAGAAACAGAACCAACGCAAAACACGAAAAAATACATCAATAAAACTGCACACCAGCTTTTTTTTGCTGACTCTTTGCTGCCCACTTGAAAATGAAGGACCCTGTTTGATCGTCAGAAGGTTATTACATGTTGTTACAATGATTACTAACCACTTACTGAATACCCGGCCCCCTAAAATGGTGGTCTGAAGGGAAGCCACCACGAGAAGGAAACCTTGAGCTTGCAAAATGTAATCACTTCAAGGGACCCCTGTTTGCTTCAGGCTCATGTAACAGGGTTGCCCACATTCGACGGCACAAGGGTAGAACTTTGGGTATTCGAGAAGGAACACAACGACAACACACCCCATGTTCTACCCTTGTGGTTCCAATCTTCTACTCCAAAATCCACACGGGAGAACATGAGCAAAGCTGCACGACCAGATCTCGGCTGCCTTTTGCTCCTCTGCTAGAAGTTTAACTTTTAGTGGTCCAATGAAAAATTCATTCCTTGGCAAAAGTCAAGGTCCCAACATCCCTTGGCAAACTGCACCAAAGAAACTAGGGCTGGTCAAAGCAACATCCATCCCCAAGGCAAGCGATAGTACACCAACCCGGCCGAGCGGCAGGCCAGCCTGCAGCCACAAAGGCCGCAGCTCCGAGTCCGAGCCCAGAGTTGGGAGCTCTAGGAAGCGACCCTTCAGGCGCCTCGGATCGGGGGGTTGAGCAAGGCGTCATTTGGCCATGGGTCAAAAACCCAAAATCGCACCCCCAGTGAACATCCCAATCCCAACTAAAATAGACTAAAATGGGTGGTGCACCTACCCCAAAATGGTTTTGACCCAGAGCCATTTACATGGGAGGACCATTAAAGGAAACCATGGGGTTGATCAATATCAACCCCCATACACGGGTCTAAATCATTTGAATGGGGACGTGGGGTGCCTTAAAACCAAACTTAGTAGTAATTGTTGCTAAACCTTTGCTGCGATACCAAAGCTGGATTTCCATCTCCACTGGTTTATCATTCGTTTCTTCTAGGGTATCACTGACTGTGGCACTAGCAACTTTGCTCATCTCCGACTCCTTGACTGATAGCCCTGATTGAATTAAATTGATGCACACAGAGACCAAACGTGAGCCTTTCCCAAATATCCATCTGCCATGTGAACTTCTGCAATGGACAAGGCTTGGGTGTAGTTGCCTTGTACACACTGCTCTGGTTTGAGTTTGTTTCCAAATGGGGACGCCCAAAATGGATGGTTTACCTCTGGTTTGCCTTCAAAAGAAGACACTCCTATAACACCCCTTGGACCAAACACTGCACTCAACGACAATCCCTTTATGGTGGCAGCATGAAGCTGCAACGTTTGACCCTTCAAAAAGAACATTTATTCGCATTGCCAGAATTTTACCCTTGGATTCGGGCCAATACCTTGGCACGCTTAACCATCACCCTTCCACCAACCATGGAATGCACAGCAACCCTCTCTAAACAAGCCCAGTCTTCCAAAGGGGCTTTGTGCAATTCCACGATTTTTCGACGGAGGTATCTACCCGTTGTGGCTTGCTTTAGGGGAACTCACGAATTGCAGGTAATTCAAGACGCAGTAATCTAGGACATCCGATCGGCCAATCGCAAGCAGTGGGTTTACTAGGGCAACATCGCATGACACCAACCTTGGTTGACGTTGGAAGGGGAGCAACAATTCTCAAAGTTTAGCAGCTAAGTGGTTGGATTTCAACCACTAAACCACCATAAGCAAAAATGGGAAAGATGTTTCCCAACAACACCCATGCAACACGGGTTCCTTTAGGAAGCACACGTGGAGTAGCTTCAAACTTAGAGCTCCTTTGCTGGACCTTGCCTTTGGGGATGGGCCAAGGTGAATTGAAGTCCAGGGTTCCAAGCATGGATTTCATAAGCGGGCCATCCGTTTCTGCCCTCTGAACCTCTTAGGAATTCCCCCCTCCCTCCAAACGAAACAGATAAAACCAAATAACACAAAGTAAACTAATGATACTAAACAAACAAAAACAAAAAGATGGCACCATGCACCACATCCAGCATCGTGTGGTAGCCCAAACTGCCAGACCCCACGCCACCCCACGAGGCGTCCTTGGACTGCCGAGTGCAGCCGGGCTGCTGCGACGGAACTTGAGAGAGCCGTCGCAGGCTGGGCCTGACCACACGCTGGCTCATCTGTGGAAAATGACCCTGTCCTTGAAAGAGGCCCTCTACTCTTGTCCTTTAAGGGTAGGAGTTTTTAACTAGGCACCCTTTGGACATCATTTGGGTATTTTTAACTAGGGACCCTTTGGACATCAGAAATCGGCGGGAATTCATGTCCACCAGTCACTTTTGAGGTGGCCCCCTACCTAAAATCTTTCAGTTTTTCCAGGACAAACACTTGGTGTCTCACCTTTTCCCATGGTGATTCTGCTCTTGTTTTCAACCCACGGGGGAGCACCCCCACGTGAGTCCAAACATTGCGAATTGCGCCCTCACCAATGCTGTCCTTCCGTTCAGTAAAGAAGAGCGGTGCTCCCTAAGCTATGAAGTGGACCGGAACCAAACTGGTTTGGTCTACCCGCAAAACGTCTCTATGTTCACTGGTTGACGGTTGGAAACAAGTTTTTGTCGACATGTTCCGTTAAACAAACCGGCAAGTATCCTCCATCCAGGTGGCACCTGACTGTTGGCCACCCGCTGCGAGCCTCAAGGCTCGCATGGATTGGACGCCGGGTGCGAGGCGCTTTGGCCACACTTCTTGTGAGGGGGAGGTGAAAATCTCCAAGAGGAACCTTTCGCACATTGTGGGACATCTCGTCGAATGTTCTAGGTTCTCAAAAAAAACACGCCTTGGTCTCATTTCCACTGTGAAACGTGGATGTCCGGCAATTGCGAGTGGGTTGTTGAGGGGGTCACTGGAATTGCGTAGCAGAGATTCGGAAGTTGGGGGTTGATCGAACTTGCAACGTGCCAAGTGTGTTCTCAGCTCTTGAGCACAAACGGCAACACACGCGCGTTTGCAGCGTGGCATCATGTCATGCAGACCAACCTGCTGGTTCAGAGTCCTTTGGCTTCCCTTTAGAAAGCAACCGAAAAGGGGTCCGCCAACACTCACATCTTCAGCCGGGACGTGTTCCAAGGTCGCGGAAAGCTGAGGCACCAACGCGAAGCTCAGCAATAGCCTGGGCATGTGCAACTCACTTCTCGCATCAAAGGCTTCATTGAGATGCGCGTTTACTTACTGGATGTATAAATAGGGGGTCTCCAAAAACCAAACAATGGTCCATCCCCTTTCGGCTTTCGTTTTGGGAAAACTTCAACCATGCACTAGTCAGCGCCAAGCTTCATTTATGTTCTTAACAATCGCGAGTTTCCTTTTGGATCCCCAATAAATGTTTGCTTATTTGTGCGATAAAAGTCTATCTTGGGTTGCCAAATAAGCGTTTCCCAGTGAGCCAAAGGGGCAACCCTCAAGCAAATGGAAGAGCACTTTCTTTCCTTTCCTCTTGACCCCGCGCATCCGTCTGTCTGGGGCTGGGCCCTGCGCCGGGTGCTGGCGGGCGCACCGTGCCAAACGAAGTTCCTGACGGCAGAACCACTTGGGAAAGACCGCCCAACCATACCTTGGCCTGAGGGACACAAGAACTCCGCCGACCCCTTTCTCCAAAGGGGAGGCGCATGGGAAGGGCTTGTATTCGTCCTTGTCTTCGTGATGTTTATCAGCACCACTGATGTTGGGTGATGGGTTCGCAGCATCCAAATCATCAGCATTCTACGTTTCAAGCTTGCCGTTCAACCCGGCTTGGAATGCAGTGATGCATTTTAGTCATGATTGTTATGACAGCTGCTGCTCATGCAGGGGATGCATAGTGATGATTGTCATCAGGATATCATCACGGAAACTGCTGGTGATGCTGGAGATGCGTAGTGATGATCATCAGGATCATCATGATCATCATGAGCGACGCTGCATCTGATCATCATCATCAGTCTTCTCATCATCATGATGGTCATCATCATCTCTTTCTTGTTCTTATATGCATTTCAAAAGTAACGTTAGATAGCATTGGCAATGCAGAGGATGCTACGATGATAGTCCTCATCCTTATCATCATTATCATCATCGTCATCATCATCATCTCTTACTAGCCGTCCTCATCCTCATCATCATTATCATCAGGGTCATCATCATCTCTTATTAGCCGGCACTGGTGATGCCGAGGATGCTACGATGATAGTTATCATCACAGTCCTCATCCTTATCATCATTATCATCACGGCCATCATCATCTCTCATTATCCGGCACTGGCGATGCCGAGGATGCTACGATGATAGTTATCATCACAGTCCTCATCCTTGTCATCATTATCATCACGGTCATCATCATCTCTTATTATGCAGCACTGGTGATGCAAAGGATGCTACGATGATAGTTATCATCACACTATCATGCTGATGGTCGTCAAAGTAACGTTAGACAGCATTGGCAATGCAAAGGATGCTACGATGATAGTTTTCATCACAGGCCTCATCCTTATCATCATTGTCATCACGGTCATCATCATCTCTTATTAGGCAGCACTGGTGATGCAAAGGATGCTACGATGATAGTTATCATCACAGTCATCATCATGATCATTCTCACCATGATCATGATGACGGTCGTCATCATCATCATCATCACTCTTCTCATCATCATCATGATAGCCACCACCATCTCTTTCTTGTTCTTATATGCATTTCAAAAGTAACGTTAGACAGCATTGGCAATGCAGAGGATGCTACGATGATAATTATCATCACAGTCCTCATCCTTATTATTATTATCATCACTGGTGATGCAAAGGATGCTACGATGATAGTTATCATCACAGTCATCTTCACGATCTTCCTCATCATCATCATGATGATGGTCGTCATCAGCATCATCATCACTCTTTTCATCATCATCCTGATGGTCATCAACATCTCTGTTATTGTTCTTATATGCATTTCAAAAGTAACGTTAGACAGCATTGGCAACGCAGAGGATGCTACGATGATAATTATCATCACAGTCCTCATCCTTGTCATCATTATCATCACGGTCATCATCATCTCATTAGGGAGCACTGGTGATGCAAAGGATGCTACGATGATAGTTCTCATCACAGTCATCATCAGGATCTTCCTCATCATCATCAGGATGATGGTCGTCATCATCATCATCATCACTCTTCTCATCACCATCCTGATGGTCATCATCATCTCTTTCTTGTTCTTATATGCATTTCAAAAGTAACGTTAGACAGCATTGGCAATGCAGAGGATGCTACGATGATAATTATCATCACAGTCCTCATCCTTGTCATCATTATCATCACGGTCATCATCATCTCTCAGGGAGCACTGGTGATGCAAAGGATGCTACGATGATAGTTATCATCACAGTCATCATCAGGATCTTCCTCATCATCATCATGATGATGGTCGTCATCATCATCATCATCACTCTTCTCATCACCATCCTGATGGTCATCATCATCTCTTTCTTGTTCTTATATGCATTTCAAAAGTAACGTTAGACAGCATTGGCAATGCAGAGGATGCTACGATGATAATTATCATCACAGGCCTCATCACGGTCTCATCATCAGGGAGCACTGGTGATGCAAAGGATGCTACGATGATAGTTATCATCACAGTCATCATCAGCATCTTCCTCATCATCATCATGATGATGGTCGTCATCATCATCATCATCACTCTTCTCATCACCATCCTGATGGTCATCATCATCTCTTTCTTGTTCTTATATGCATTTCAAAAGTAACGTTAGACAGCATTGGCAATGCAGAGGATGCTACGATGGTAATTATCATCACAGTCCTCATCCTTGTCATCATTATCATCATGGTCATCATCATCTCTCATTCGCCGGCGCTGGTGATGCCGAGGATGCTACGATGATAGTTATCATCACAGGCCTCATCCTTATCATCATTGTCATCAAGGTCATCATCATCTCTTATTAGGCAGCACTGGTGATGCAAAGTAGTTATCATCACAGTCATCATCAGGATCTTCCTCATCATCATCATGATGATGGTCGTCATCATCATCATCACTCTTCTCATCCTGATGGTCATCATCATCTCTTTCTTACTTTCTTATATGCATTTCAAAAGTAACGTTAAACAGCATTGGCAATGCAGAGGATGCTACGATGAAAATTATCATCACAGTCCTCACCCTTATCCTCACTATCATCATGGTCATCATCATCTCTTATTAGCCGGCACTGGTGATGCCGAGGATGCTACGATGATAGTTATCATCACGGTCATCAAACCGGTTGAGCCAACGAGCTACATAAACAGGTCCGATCATTTACGCAGGACAACCATGTTTGTAGCATCCAAAAGGAACGTGTTGCTTGTGCTCTGTTAGCGGCTGTGTTTGTTTGAGGGTGCCCTTCTTTTGGGTTGCCTTAAAGGCAAGCCAAAAAGAAGCCAGCCCTCTTTGGAGTACTTAACTGTATGGGGTCAGCGGCACTGGCCGTGACATCGCCGAAGGCCTAGGCCCGCAGGGCCTACCTTCAGGTATAAGGCCGTCCGCTCCATGCCGCCGACCATGTGCCGAACTTTTGCGCTGGGCCCACCCTTATAAGGGGCGAAGGATTTGCGGATTTGTTCAGGCGATTTTTGGCGGCTTTTTGAGCATCTCCCCGCGGAGTCAAAAAACGAGTGTTTTTTGGGGGGTGCCCATAGTGGACAACATCCCCGGCATCACCTGCATCATCCGCATCCTTGGCGGACATTGATGCGGATGATGCCGGTGATGCGGGGGATGCTGGGGATGTTGTCCCCGAAGTCGGGCCAACTTTGCCGAAAACGTGCAACCTGAAAATCTTAAAATCTTAAAGTGGATGGAAAATGGATGGCCTGGATTGAAATCTCGAAATCCTAAAGTCTTAGATTCTTAAAATCTTAAATTAAAATCTAACAATCAATCTTAGAATCTCGAGATCTTAAAATCTTCGAACTTAGAATCTTAAAATCTGAAAATATAAAAACATCCTAAAGTCTCGGGGGATGCTGGGGATGTTGTCCCCTAAGTCGGGCCAACTTTGCCGAAAACGTGCAACCTGAAAATCTTAAAATCTTAAAGTGGATGGAAAATGGATGGAAAATGGCCTGGATTGAAATCTCAAAATCCTAAAGCTTAAAATCTGAAAATATAAAAACATCCTAAAGTCTCGGGGGATGCTGGGGATGTTGTCCCCTAAGTCGGGCCAACTTTGCCGAAAACGTGCAACCTGAAAATCTTAAAATCTTAAAGTGGATGGAAAATGGATGGAAAATGGCCTGGATTGAAATCTCAAAATCCTAAAGTCTTAGATTCTTAAAATCTTAAATTCAAATCTAACAATCAATCTTAGAATCTTGAGATCTTAAAATCTTCGAACTTAGAATCTTAAAATCTGAAAATATAAAAACATCCTAAAGTCTCGGGGGATGCTGGGGATGTTGTCCCCTAAGTCGGGCCAACTTTGCCGAAAACGTGCAACCTGAAAATCCTAAAATCTTAAAGTGGATGGACAATGGATGGAAAATGGCCTGGATTGAAATCTCAAAATCCTAAAGCTTAAAATCTGAAAATATAAAAACATCCTAAAGTCTCGGGGGATGCTGGGGATGTTGTCCCCTAAGTCGGGCCAACTTTGCCGAAAAACGTGCAACCTGAAAATATTAAAATCTTAAAGTGGATGGAAAATAGATGGAAAATGGCCTGGATTGAAATCTCAAAATCCTAAAGTCTTAGATTCTTAAAATCTTAAATTCAAATCTAACAATCAATCTTAGAACCTTGAGATCTTAAAATCTTCGAACTTAGAATCTTAAAATCTGAAAATATAAAAACATCCTAAAGTCTTCGAATCTTGAAATCTTAAAACCCTTATGTCTTAGAATCTTGCGATCTTAAACTCTTAAAATATGAAATTCCTACAGTCTTAAACTCTTACTCTTGAAATTTGGAAATCTTGAAACCTCAAGATCTTAAACTTACAACCTTAGAAGATCGAATCTTACAATCTGAAAATATAAACATCCTAAAGTCTTCGAATCTTGACTTCTTAAAACCCGAATATCTTTGAATCTTCAGATATTAAAATCTAAAAATATGAACTTCCTAAATTCTCAAAGTCTTAAAATTTCAGAATCTGAAAAGCTTTCAAAACTTAAATTCTTTAAATCTCGAACTATTGCAATCTGAAAATCTTAACTTCATAAACAAGTAAAATATAATAAAATTCCTTCAATCCGGGCTATATTTTAAATTCCTTAAACTCTTAATCTTGAAACTTTGAAGCCTTGAACTCTTGAGATCTTAAAATCTTAAATTCCGAAAGTCGCCAAATCTGAAAATCTCCGAAAAATAAAATCTTAAAGCCTTCGAAATCTGATAATAGATGGAAAATGGCTGGGCAATGGCCTGGCTGTTATAACCTTCAAAAACTTTAAATATTTGAATCTTAAAACCTTAATTCTTAAACCATTGAAACCTTAAATTCCGACAGTCTTCAAATCTGAGACCCTTAGAATCTCAAAGTTGTTAGAATCTGAAAATCTTAACATCTACTAATCGGACTTACAGGAAAGGGAAGTGACAGAACGAGCAGGGCAAGGTGCCCGGTGGCCGGCTGTGTCGCGTCAGCATGTAAATAATATTCTTAGATCCTGTTTCACAGTCAAGCATAAAATGCGGCAGGAGATCCCCCCAAAAAAATCAGAACCACACGTTATCGCCCTTGTACGCCTTTGGGGTAGTGCCCTTCCCTTCTTGGCTTCCACGGCAGTCTCGTTGGGACCTTTGTACCCACAAAGGAACTTATGGCCCTCTTGGCGGCATGCCCCCGCTCAGGACTGGGAATCCGAAGCTCAGGGAAACTGCAAGCAGAACTTGCGAAAGTGAATAACACGTGCGCAGGCAAGACACATTCTTTCAGAGAAAGAAGGAAACAAAATGGAAAATTAAAATTTGTATTCCAGGATTAAGCCTCTGATGGGTGGGTGTCCCCAAGTCAGAGGCTCCGGATCATGGAGGGGGCCTAATCCACTGGAGTTGTTGATGCGGGGTGACAATACTTGAGATGCATCGAGTGAGTCACTTGATGCAAAGGTCCCGGCGGAAATCCTCTTTGCCTCGTTGTAGAGGCCGTAATCCAGCCTGCCGTTTTGGTCGATTCTTGCGGATCCACATTGAAATCCTGCAAAAGAGGGGAACCCCATCCGGACCTGCGAGCCGGAAAGTGGTTTTTCGCCTCACCTTCCTGTGCCCCATTTCCCATGGTAGCCCAAAATCGAAGTTGGAACTTTCTTGGGCTCTGGGCCCGGGCCCCACACCTTTCTTTTGTACGGCATTGGGATGGTCCGGACCTTCGAGCAAGTGGCATGCGGCCCATTGAGATGGCTCCCCTTTGGTTAGGGCCACGGAAACGAAATTTCGAGCCCCTGGCCTGTTCTTGGCCACAAATCGATTTCGCCTCATGGCAAGCGCTCAAATGCGGCCACTGGGCCGTGAGAATCACTCCCTGCAACGCGAAGTTTGGGGGGTTCAAGTGGTTAGAAACTCCTGGCTAACCACAGTTAACCTCCCTGTAAACCCTTGCACGTAGGCATCCAAACACCCGCCAACTAAGTAGTGTCCAATGGCCACATGGCTTTGGGTCAAAACCAATGGTACCATTTTGGGGTAGGTGCGCCACCCATTTTAGAACCTCTTTTAGTGGGGAGTGCGATGTGCACTGGGGGCTAACCGATTTGGCTCAAATGACCCATGGCCATTTTGGCGGCAAACTTCCCGAGACGCCGGCAAGGCCGTCACATCCGCAGGGCCCAGCTCGGACTCTGTTGGGATCTCCAACATGACCTGCCCGGGTCGGGTCCCTAGAAACCAGGCTGCGGAGCAAGCCTCTTCCGGGTGGAGAGAGGCAAGGGAGTAACTCGCTTGCGAAATCTGCTCCCCTAAAAGTGAATAATTTTTAGTGGTTTAATACGGAAAACCCATCAGTTGGCAAAAAGCTAAAGTCCTAACATCCAAGAAAACTGCACCTCTGATACAAGTCCATACAATGACGTGTCTACATTCTGGTCCGTATCTAGCGAGCCATGAAAGATAGAACGTTCTCGAACGAAGTGTCAGTTCTAGGTTTGTTGAAGGATCAAATCAGGGGATTCATTAAACAATGGGCCACTTGTCAGAAACAAACCAAATTGGGGTTCCCCATTTAAGAGACAACTCACCTCTTGAACACATGTCATGTTTCAACTTCCAGACATCAGAAATGTTTGTTTTCGGTCCATAGTGAACCTACGCTTAGAATCAATCACTTGTCTCGGCAGATCCGCTAAAAGTTTAACATGTAGTGGGTTAAATGGAGACTACCACTACCCTCCCACCAGCTAACATGGAAGTGCAAGGACCCCCGTTGAAAGACTACTCTCCGCTTGGAAAGGGCCTTTTTGCACTTCCATGTTAGTTGGGAGGGAGCAAACACTAAAAGGCTAACGCGAAGGGGATGGCTGGGAACCACCCAGTTGCGAGATCCCAATGGGCACCCAAAATCCCCAGCGATCGAGCACTCCAGGGATCCCGCCTCATTGTGCTCATATGGCCGCACGCGGGTGCGGAGCAAAGGCCGGGCCATGTCCAAGTCCAATCCTCGACCGCTCAAAAGGCCATGGGTCAAAAGCCAAATCGTACCCCCAGTGAATCCACACTAAAACAGACTAAAATGGGTGGTGCACCTACCCCAAAATGGTACCCTTGGTTTTGACCCACAGCCAAATGGATCCTCTCGCTAGCATCGGCCCAAAGGGTGGGCTACTTAATTCCTTTCCAAATGAAAGGGTACCAAAAGTGCCAAAGTGAAGAACATGAAGTTTGGGAAGATGTGCGTTCACTGCAAGTATCTGCATGTCCAAGGAAAACATGGAGTTCCTGGATTGTCTGTGTTTTTGAGCCCACCGTTTTCATCTTGGCTTTGAAGGGAAATCAAAAGGAAAGCCACAGTTTTGGTGTTCCCCTCTTTTGAGACAGCCAGAAAGCACGACCGATGCTCAAGCATTGGGACCGTGACCAAGGCTGCATGCGAGCTGCAAGGCTGAGCGTGCAAAGTCCTAGCGAAGGAAGCTTCGCGTTTTCGGCACGAGGGGCGTCTGTCTTCCGTGGGGAACCTTGTTGAAGTTGCTTGAAAGGGATCGCGGCCCCAAGGCACCGACACAGTCCTGCCAACCCGTGTATCACTCCTAGGTACAGGGTAGAACACCCATACCAGCTAAGCCGCGAGGGGACCCTGCCAGGTTCAATGGGCTGGACCGACCACAAAGACGAACAAGACTCTGAATGGAAAACACGCCTTGACTTCCCCAGTTCTGAGACAAACCAAACAAAAGAACACCAACATCTCTGAACTCTTCACAACTGATCCTGCATTTGCGACTCGGAAACCGCTTAAGAAAGGAGACCCAGTGATGGCCCATGCCGGTCAGGTCCTCCACCACAATTACCGCCGACATGCGCTCGAACAGGATCGACTTGGCCACCTGGGAGCCCTTTCGTTCTTTTTTTTGGAAGCCCGTTTCTTTGCTGGGAAGAAACCCAGGCTGCCACCCACAAAACCGAAACTGGGGCGGGCGGGGAGGGGGGGTTGAAAAGGACGTGATGGTCTGCATGTTGATGAGAGAATATCCATTTGTTGACCTTCCGCCCAGCGGATCAACCCCACCTCGTAGTCCTTGAGAGTGAGCGGTGGCCTCACGTGACACGACGCGCATGCGCGCGAAAGCAAACCAATGGTATCTGAAGCTATGGGTCTCCGACTGTGACAGGTCGGTGCGGTTCAGCAGCACGCGGGTGTAGTAGTTATCACCTCAAAGCATCTCTTGTTCCCATCAAGCATCTCGCCTCTCTACGCATTTCCCTGAAATTTCGTCCCCTGCAAGCTGACGTGGCACCCAAGCAACCACGGTTTTAGGGATCTCATCTTGGAAGAATCTTGGGTTCCATGTCAATTTGCAGCGGATCCGCCCATGTGGTGCAAGGGTGCGGGCCGTAGATGTGCGGGGATTCCCTGGGCGGGCGGCTCGTCTTGGCGGACGTGGAAAGCGAATTGGCGCGGCGCGAGATGCGGAAGCCAGGCACACCCAGGACAGAATCCTCAGGCCGGGAAGCTAAGCCCGGGAAACATCGGCAAAGGAAAAACAGACTTGGTACCTTCCCAGCAATTAACATGGAACCTGACAGGAGGGCCCTGGAAGACCATTTTCCTTTCAAGGGACCGCCTCCCTGGAAGACCTGTCACGTCTCAGGTTGATTGTAGGGAGGGTACGTTGGGTTCTCCTTACAAACCTCACTGAGGCCTTGTTGCAGGCTACTGGATCAAGCTGCAAAGGCCTCTGACTAAGGCGTTGGTGAGGGGATCCCTGGTTAGGATGACCACCCCAGCTAACACCTCTGGTTCGCTAAACAAAAGCCACTTGTAGATGTTGAACCCTCGCACGACCCTTCAGAAACTGACCTATTGATCCCCGCGAGCGGCTTGAGAGAGCGACTCGCTGGCTGTCCCTGCCCCATGTGGCCCGAAAATTGGGGAGGCTGCGATGTGGGCGGAAGGTGACCACCACCATCCCAACCTGAGACAGACGGAGTCGCGACACCTTGCTTCCCTTTTGGTCATGCCGCAAAACTCACACGCACATGTCTACACGATGTCCGCTATGCATCGCTATACATAGGAATGCATGTGTGCAATATATATATATATATTTATACATATATATATATATATATAAATGTGGGAAGTGCATACAACTAAAAGTATATATGAATATGAAATAGTGTGTATCTCTCTCTCCCTCTCCCTGCGTAATATGCATATAGACGTATGCACATAATTACTTCTACCGCTGCCATGCATATTTTCCCTAAAGACCAGCAAGGAACGACGAAGCAACGCCTTGCACTGAGCGCAGCACATGTGATGGTTGCCAGCCATGCAGACAGCGAGAGCCTTCGAAGGCTAAGCTGGTCATGGCATCGATTCTGTTGATCACTCAGCCGCAGTAGGAACGCAGCCCACCAATGCTTGATCATTTTTCTCTGAACCGGGGCTCTTCATCTTAGGTTGAGGGCAGCAAGATGTGATGCGCTCCAAAATGGGGTACCCCAAACATGGTTGGGCTCCTGTTGTTTCGTCTTGGGGGCCAACCCAACGGAGGCCAACCCCACCCCGTTCCACCCGAGACAGAGACCCACTACCAAAGGTTCACTGGTTTCAGTCTGCAAGCATGCCAAACCAATGTTTTCATTTTTCTGGACCTTTGAAACTATACCTTCCTGGAATCTGCAACTGCAAGATCTAGATTGCCACCAGCCATGGCAAATAGGAAGCCTTCGGGCCCGGATAAGCTTCCTCAGTAAGTTACTCCCATGCGACAGAACCATCAGATTGTCCCCATTTCTGGGAAGTTCGATCGTTTCGGCGCGGCTGGGGTTAAAGCAACCCGCCCAAAGGTTCGAAGCTCAAAGGGCGTGCCGAAGGACTCGGCAAGCCAAGGTACCCGCGCCTTGACATGCGCAAGGCAGCCCGCCTAGCAGAAAGAGACGCCCAAAACTGGTTGGTCCCCTGCGAAGGGGCTGCTCCCGAAGGATATTTCTTTAGAAAGGATGAATCTGCAGTGCGGGAAAGCTTACAGTGGTTGTCAACCATGAGTGCTATTCAGTGCACCCCGTTTCGGGTGGTACCAACATAGTATTGGACATTGCTCCGAAACTACAGGCAAACGAAACGACTATAGTATGGCTGTATAGATGCAGCTTGGAGGCATTGGGGGGGTACACGGCCTGCTTACGTTAACAGCTGTCTTGCTATTTCTTAGTAGGGAATACGGGTGCGTCCTGTTGCCACCTGTTTTAGGACAAGCTTGGCACACCTCGAGACCAAGACTACGCCTTTCTAACACCAACTATGAAACCGTCCTGCATCACACAAATGCAAAGCATCAAGCCAGATGGCTTTGTACTTTTTTGGGTACCCTCTTTGTGGTTGGATGCAAAGGAAACCAACCGGGAAATCAGTTTGCGTTGTTTATTTCTTTTGTTTTTTAGGCGGGGGGGGGGGGCTACACACCTAGATAGGTGACATACGCAGAGAAAAGAGCAGGCCAAGTACATCGCAAATGGAAGGCGTGGGTCGATCCCATTGTCGAATGGAGGAGCCTCACAAAATGCGCGTTCTTGGTTTCTCTTTCAACCCAACAAACCATATTGGGGCTCCGCAATTTCGAGGCACGCACATGTATCTCCCAAGCTTGGTCCATGTCACTCCCCCAAAACCAGTCGGGATTCCTTTGGATATTCCCAACCACTTGCCCTCCCACCAAGTGCACAGACCCCTGTAGAAAGACGACTTTTCTCTTGGAAAGGGCCTTTTGCCACTTCCATGTTAGTTGGTGGGAGGGTATCTCCCCACAAACTGGCGTCCCGCCATCTCGTGGCGCAGTTGGCTCCAGAAGCGTGACCAAGGGTCACCTCGGGCTTGGAAACCGTGGGCTGGCAATCGAACAAGCTTTGCGGGAAGCGCCGCGTCTCTGTTCCATCCCCAAACGTTGCCCTACAGGAATCTTGTGACTTTCTCCGAAGGATCCGGAAAACAACATCAAACAGCTGTAACCAGGTTATGGCACCCACAGTGATTCCTTGCGCGAGTTAGACCTCATTGCGGGGCCTTTTGACAACCCGAAGTCTGTTGAAGCACTCGCCTGACATATTGCCCAATAACATAAACGCCTTGGTGATGGTTTTGGTCGGGCGTCCTAAAGCACTTGGGTTGCCAATATCAATAAATCTACGAATCGGCGGCTGCCAAAAACCTCACATCAATTCATAGGATCCAACCCCCTCTCCCCGAACCACCCTTTCCCATGGTTTCCTTCCAAGAAAGGGTCTTCATGTGGGATCATGATTCGGGGCAGGGTGGGGGGGGGGGGTAGGATTGGGAGCTGGATCCAATGCAAGTGATCGACTTTGAAGAACCCCAGAGGGCGAGGCGAATTGTCGTGACGAAGACCTCAGCTGCTCCGGACTTGGACTTCTCCTGAGACCATGGAACTTACATGAAACTTACCAGTTGATCCTGCGATAGCTCGTGGAGTTTTTTGTGTGGATCAGATGAACTAAAACTCGAAGTAAAAAACACGGTGCCACACCCAGCTTCATCAGGGTGATCCAAAGACGGGCAACGAGAAATCAAGAGACACCAACCAATTTGCGACGCTTTAGGTCAGATCGTCGCTTGGAGCAAACCAACTCGGTTGCTTTCTGCTCCCCTGCTAAAAGTTTAACTTTTAGTGGTTGAATGGAAAACCCATTAGTTGGCGAAAAGTCAGTGCTCACATCCAAGCAAAATGCACCAAAGCGCCAACTTCATCAGGCAGCATGTGGCTGGTTTGCTTCCGGAGCCCCCCATCTGAGATGCCGAGCCCAGCTGGGCATGCGCTGCATCAGCAGTTCCTTCCTCGGATGGGCACAACATTGTTCCTTCGCATGATCTCCGAAATTGGGCTCCAGAATTTCGAGGATTTGGATCCCGAAAACAAAACCCATGGCTTTCTTGGGCTGCTCTTCGAACCGACCAACAGGTATCCATGTGCTTCCAGAAAAGCCATGTAGGTCTCTGATCTCTGGCTCCGCCCGCTCGTCGATTCCGAGCCCGGTTGAGCCCAGGTCGCCCGAGGTCAGGGCGTGGGTATTGCGCCGTACTCCTGGGAAGCATACTTCCTTTCGAGGAGGTGCTCCCAACTTTTGAAAGGAGTTCTTCTTGCCCTTGCCCATCGCTATTCCACTCACAAACGGCAGATTCCATCCCAACTTTCTTGAGGAAAGTTGTGGATCCAAATGGGCCACTCCCAAGGACTCCCCAAAGCCAGCCGCTCGACTTAGGACAAATCATTCACATTGTGAATCCTCCAAACAGCTATCTCTACCGAATCTAACATTCCAAGGATCCCCCCACCCTCACAAGTTGGCGAAGTGACCTACAGTTCCAAGCTCTGGCCTTCTGGCTTGCTTCCGCACCCCCCCCCTGTCTGAACACCCCGCAACCACCGCATTAAGGCGACCCCCCTCAGCCCCAAAGCCCCTAAGCGCTCCTGGGCGAAGGCGTTGCCGCCCAAAAATCGCAGCTCCTGCGCCAGAAGCGTGAGGTTGTGGCCTGAAACATCGCGACGTGCGACAGGGAAGGGCAGTGGAGGTGCCGAGTGAGGCGACTTTTTGTTGGCTTTTTGGCGGACTGAACAGCTAAAAACCACGCAATTTGAACCAAAAGGGTGCAACAGAGGACGGCCCTAAGTATCAACCATCCTGGTGCGGGCGAGGAGTCGAGCTCAAAATGGAGGAGGGGAGCCTGTTTTGAGGCTTTACACGGGGGTGTCTAGATAAAACATGATTCCTTGGGGATTCTAACCTCTTGACGGGTTGGATCAGATTGTTGGACCCAGGCTTCAGAAACTTGTGTGGAAAACAGGGCCGGCTTAAACAATTGGGTCTCTTCATGTTTCCCGAGACAGGGCCTCCCTTTGATCGCCCCCAGCAGGCTCAATCCTTCCCACAACTTCTGGAAAATTGGATTGGAACCCCAACCCAACCATATCCCGATTTGGCCCACCTCGAAGGCAGCTCTTCCGTGGGCCATGCGTGTCGACTCGACTTGGCTCAGAAGCTGACCAGAAGCCCAAAGGTTTCACCGGCCTCTGCCTGGACCATACCCCTGAAGGTGAACCCTCAAACTAGGAGTAAACAACAGAGAAAGGGGTAAATGAGGGTCACTATGCCCCAAAATGTCGGAAAAATGAAAATTCAAACGTCAGTCTCAGCACAGTAATCCAGGGGGCACTCTGGAGAAAGGCTGTCGGACTTTTGACCAACATTCGGACTGGGATCTGCGCAACAAAACAACTCTAGTCCTTTTGGGCAAGATGCAAAGCAAAGCTGGCAAATGAGATTGACGAAGTTAACCCAGTGGAATCCCATGGATCGACTAAACTGACCCAGGAAGCCAAACTGATTAGAACCAAACAACAAACTCAGAAGTTTTACGCGAAGCGTGAGGTGCGTCCGTCTCTTTTGCTCAGCCCAGGCCGCATGCAACACATGAGTGAAAACAGGCGGTCCTAATCCCTGGCCAAAGTGGTTTCAAGTCAAGCGGTACAATCTGGAACAGGACCTCCTTTTCGGTGTTGGCCAAAATTCAAGCCTCAGTCTGCAAGCATCCCAAGTTTGACTCCACTGTTGGGGAGTGCTTTGAAGGGACACCCACGGGAAACCAAGTTTAGGCCCAGTGCTTTGGCCAGGGGACGGTGCGTAGTGCCGGGACTCTGTCAACTCAGCCACCGTCCAAGCCTCGTACGAATTTTGGTAGCTTAGCTCCACCACCCCTGACGGTGGTCCTTTTTTTTGATGTTGGCAACCACACGACGAAATCCTGGCTTTAGCCACAACCAACCCTTGCTCCCAAGGTGGCAAGGTAGTAAAAGGACGACCGTCGGGCTTTGCAGTTGCTTAAAGCATCTGCCTAT